TATTGGTAAGGTGAATGGCGGTATGATGGCTCTTTATATGCGTTTCTCCAGGATCGGTGCCCTCAGGTATGCACAGGGGTTCCGAGAGAGTTATACCGATCGTGTTCCTACTGAAGGTCCGATCGGTTCTTCTCCAGATGAGGTTGATAAGAAGTTAGATATCGACCCCCCAAGAGTCTTTGTTGATCCAGACTCTACTCCTGCTGAGCATATTTTTGATGAGTGTCAGGAGATTGCCTCTTCCAGGGTTGCTTCAACTCCCTCCACTGTTCAGCCTTTGGACGTTCATCCTCTGTCCTCCATGGTCCCTCCCACAACCACTACTGAGGTTGGGTCTCAACAGAACGATTCAATTATTCATCTCGACTCTCTTCCTCATGGAGATGGGATGACCAATGATAGTGAAGAGACGAGTCAACGCAACCAAGAGGCTGATGGAGCAGAGGCAGCTAGCTAGGACTCTTCTGATGCCTTAATTTCCTACTCATTTGTATTCATGTCATCTAAATACTTTACTTTTTATAACTTCAAAGATTTATTATAAATGAGATAATAGATTTTTTGGCTGAACTTTGCCCAAACTTTTTTGCTACTTTCTCATTGACTTCATTTGTGCATCGGTGATAACAATCAACTTTTCATTCTGCTACAGCAAATTTTGGCGTTCGGCTCATAGTGCCAGCTGCCACTTACTTTGCTGAGCGATTGACACTCGGCAAGAATGCCATTTGCCACTTTCACTTTTGATTTTTGGCAAGTGTTTGGCATTCGGCTCATAGTGCCAGCTGCCACTTACTTTGCTGAGTGATTGGCGCTCGGCAAGAATGCCACTTGCCACTTTCACTTTTGATTTTTGGCAAGTATTTGGCGTTCGGCTCATAGTGCCAGCTACCACTTACTTTGCTGAGTGATTGGCGCTCGGTAAGAATGCCACTTGCCACTTTCTCTTTTGATTTTTGGCAAGTATTTGGCGTTCGGCTCATAGTGCCAGTTGCCACTTACTTCACTGAGTGATTGGCACTCGGCAAGAATGCCACTTGCCACTTTCATTTTTTCACTTAATCAACTTCTCATGGAAAAACAATATTTTTATAGATCTCTAAATTTCATACACTCGTACGTATATTATTGAGAAATGAACAATTACCAGAATTGAAACTCGACTTTCTATTAATAATACATTTTCAAAGATGTAGCATTCCATGGCTTGTTAACCAGATTTCCAGCCATGGTCTCCAAGGTATATGCCCCCTTCCCTATGACTTCTGTAATTCTATATGGGCCCTCCCAGGGCAACATCATCTTTTTAACTATCCCCACCTTCTTCTTCAGAACCAGGTCACCAGGGACGAAATCTCTATGTTTCACCCTTCTGTTGTGGCTATTTACAAGTGTTTGATGAAAGACGCGAGTCTTATTGCTGCTGCATCTCTTTTTTCTTCCAACTAATCAAGGTTAAATTTCAACATACTGTCGTTCTGTTCTTGATTCCATGCAAAACTTCAGATAGTTGGAACTAAATGCTCGATCGATATGATTGCCTCGCTGCCATATGCCATGGCAAATGGGTTCTCCCCTGTCAGCCGTCTCGGGGTCGTTCTGTAGGCTTACAAGACGTTCGGAAGTTCGTCTAGCCATTTTCCTTTCTGATCCTCGAGCTTCTTCTTGATGCAAGCAAAGATTGTTCTGTTTGTAATTTCTGCTTGGCCATTTGCTTGCGGATGACTTACCGCTGCCAGCTTTGGTTTATTCCATACTCTTCCATCAGCTCCCTTACTCGCTTGCTGTCGAGATTGGTCCCATTGTCAATGACGATCGACCTTGGAACCCCTAAGTGACAAATAATATTATTCCAGATAAAACGCCTCACATGAGTTTAGGTCACACTAGGATATGGCTCTATTTCCACCCACTTGGTAAAGTAATCTGTTGCTAACAGAACGTACTTGTTCTGTGACCTCGCGGTCGGCAGAGGGCCAATCACATCCATCCCCCATTGCGCGAAAGGCCAAGGTGTGGCCATTACGTGCAAATCTTCAGGTGGTTGGTGGATTAATGGTCCGAATCTTTGGCATTTATCACATCTTCTAGAGAAGTCTTCTGCATCTCGTGACATGTTCAGCCAAAAATACCCTTGCGTCATTGCTTTATGCGCTAAAGACCTCCCCCCTGAATGATTTCCACATACTCCTTCATGGATGGTTCGTAATATCTATCGAGCCTCCGTAGGAATGACACACTTCAAGTATGGTCCGGAGAAAAACCTTCTGTACAACTGGTCATGCACTATAACGTATTTTGCAGCATTCGATTTGATTTTCCTTGCTTCATCTTGCTGCTCGGGCAACACACCATCTCGTATATAAGTTATGATTGGATCGATCTAACTTGGCTCATATGGAATGACATTCACTTGCCAAGGATCTGAGCCCGAAGGTTCTTCAAAGATGGATGGCTGGGTCAGTACGCTTATTAGAACCACCCTTGCCAGTGTTTCTCCATAACTCGACGCACTGCACACTAACCGATTGGCATCTTCGTTATGTTCCCTTGGCAACTGGACGAACTCAATTTTTTCAAAGTCTCTTGCTTTGCGCATAACGGCAGAGCGGTATGCTTCCATTGTTTCATCTTTGGTTCCATATTCTTCGTTCACTTGCTAAATGATCAGCTGCGAGTCACTAAAAGCAATTGAGTGCCTGACTTTCAGTTCTTTGGCTAATTTGAGCCCCATCAGCAACGCCTCATACTCTGCTTCATTATTGGTGGCACGGAACTCTAGTCTGAGTGCTTGACTTAGGGATGTGCCTTCTGGCATCTGTATTTTGATCCCAATGCCTGCCCTTATCTGATTTGAGGATCCATCTACAAAGAGTTTCCACGAGCAACTTCGAAGGTCTTCTTCTACATCTTCTGAGTCACATTCTAATAAAAAATCAGCTACTACCTGCCCTTTGATAGCTGTTCGCGGCTCGTACATTATGTCAAATGAGCTTAACTCTATGGCCGACTTCGTTATTATCCCCGAGAGGTCTGGCTTATGCAGGATTACTCTGATTGGAAAAGTGGTCAGAACGACAACATGATGAGACTCGAAATAATGCCTGGGCTTCTTTTTTGCATTTACGAGCGAGAGTATCACTTGTTCGGCCCTTGAATATTTGCGTTCGGCCTCGGTCATTGTTTTACAAATATAGAACACTAGGTACTGTGCTCCTTCCTTGCAACAGATCAAAACGGCACTCATCGCGATACTAGATACCCTAAAAATAGCTTTTCTCCTGGTTCGGGGGCAGACAGGACCGGAGGGTTCTGCATATATTTTTTCAAACCAGTTAGTGCTTGTCGCTGTTCATCCCCCCAGGACTGTCTCCCATGGCTTCATATTGTGTCAAAGAATGGCTTGCAGCGATCTGACAACTTAGAAATGAACCGGCTTAATGCAGCTATTCGTCCTGTCAGGGCTTGTACTTCTTTGACTGTCTTTGGTTCGGCATTCTTGGTCAGAGCTTTTGCTTGAGTTGGGCTAGCCTCTATTCCTCTATGATTAACCACATGTCCCAAAAATTGACCAGAACTCACGCCGAATGAGTATTTGGTCGAATTAAGCCTCATTCTATATCTTCTCAACACATCAAGCACATCCTGCAGATGTTTCAGATGGTCAACTTTCCTCTTACTTTTCACCACCATATCGTCAATGTAAGCCTCTACAATTTTTCCCATTTGGGCCTTGAAAATCTTGCTGATTAATCTCTGATAAGTTGCCCCAGCATTCTTCAATCCGAATGGCATAACATTGTAACAGTAGGTCCCTCGCTCGGTAACGAAAGAAGTTTTCTCCTCATCAGTCGGGTCCATAGGGATTTGATTATAACCTGAATAAGCATCCAGGAAAGTTAAACGTTCGTACCCAATAATAGCATCTACCATTTGATCAATCTTGGGCAACGGGAAGCTATCATTCGGACAGGCTTTGTTTAAATTGGTGAAATCAATGCATACTCGCCATTCCCATTCTTCTTCTGCATAACAACAGCATTTGAAAGCCAATCAGCGTACTGCACCTCTCTAATGAACCCTGCATCAAGCAACCTATCAACCTCCTCGGCTATGATCTAATTGCGTTCTAGAGCAAACCTTCTCTGCTTCTGCCTTACAAGTTTTACGCTCGGATTGACGTTAAGAGAATGGCAAGAAACTGTTGGACTGATTTTGAGCATGTCTGAGTGACTCCATGCGAACGCATCTGAGTTCTAGGACAAGAAATTAGTTAACCCCTGTTTCTCCTCTGCGGTGAGTTTCATTCCCACTTTTGTCGTTCGGTCTGGCTTATGATGGGTGATCTGCACATCCACAAGAGGTTCTTCGGTTAAGCTCAGAGGCTCCTCCTCCCCACTCTTGGTGGGTGGAGGTTCCTGTAATTGCTATTTCGGGCTCACAGAACGGATGGGAATTTTGCCCTTTTTAGCGAATTTCAGCATCACAGAATAGCATTCCTTGGCTGCTACTTAGTCGCCATGAATGTCAATCACCTTGGTGTCGTCTGGTCCCAGGCATCTCATTACTTGGTGCAAAGTTGAGGGAACACCTTGGACTCTGTGAATCCACCCTTTGCCCATCAGAAGGTTGTAAGATGGATGAATTTCAACAACATCAAAGCTTTCTGTCAAGACTCTCTCCACAGCTTGCACAGTTACTTCCACCATTCCGATGGGTTCGACCCTTTTTCCATCGAACCCTAGCAAGGGATTTCCAGTAGGCTTGAGCTTCTCTGGCTTGATCTCGAGCCGATCGAACATGTCCCTCGGCATAACATTTGCGCTGCTTCCAGGATCAATCAAAACTCTTCGTACCAGCCATTCCGCCACTGTCAGGCTGACGACTAATGGATCCTCATGAGGAATTTGAACATGTAACAAATCTGTCCTATCAAACTTTATCTGTGTTGATGTGCTCTGCTGGTGCAGAACGTTCACACTGCCTACCTTCCTTTTCATTTACGCTTGGCGAAGACGCGTTCGGAGTAATTCGCCTAACTCTTCGCTTAATTCAGGCAGACCGTGAATCACATTTATTATCCGAATTGGTTGTGTGTTATGGGAGCTCGATTTCTGACTCCTTTTCACTTGCTCCATCGGTCGGTTATGTTCTGCTGCAGGCCCTTGAATATAACTTGTAAATTGGCCTCTGGCGATCAGCATCTCCACCTGCCTCCTTAAGTTCCTGCATTCGTTAGTCTGGTGACCAAAATCGCTATGGAAAGCACAGTGCTTAGTCTGATCCCTCTGTTCGAGAGGTTGCCAAATTGGCAGAGGTGGACGGAACTTATCTTTGTTTTCCTGGTATAGCCTCGCCAGAGTGACCTTCAGTGAAGTGATCAACTCTTCCTCTCTAGGCCTCTTATCTGCCTTCCAAAGGGTCTGACACTGTGGCTGAGCTTGCTTTTGCTTGATCTTTGCTTTGGTCTTCTCTTCTATTGATATGATGGATGTTTTCTGAGCGTTGGCTGCTTCCTCCTCTTCTAGACGCACGAAACCATCAGCTCTTTCATTGAGTTCGTCCATAGTCTTCGGCGTGTTCACTACCAGGCTTGTGTGGAACGGAGTGCAACGAGTCATGGCCAACTTGAACGCTTGAACCGCCATTGTAGGATGGCATTCAATCACAATGCTCTTAGTAAGGTTAAACCTGGTAAGAAAAGCTTGGAGGCGCTCGTCTTCATGATGCTTCATCGTGAACAGACTCCCTCTCACAATGGTCTATTTATCTATAATTACCAGTCCCGTTAAAGTGTTGTAACTAACTTCTTATGTAGGGCTCTTAGCTTCGGGTCTCCTTCCTTTTGGGCCTAACTTTGTTCGGTAGATCCCAGATGTTAGGCCCAGTCTACAATGTTACAGTATAGGTTGAGTCCAACTGTTTGATCCGATGCTTCCTTCGTAGGTCAAATCCGGCCCACTCTATCTTCAGCATCCTCAATATATATGAAAAAAATTATATAATGTCCTCCTAAAATTTTTATTTTCTAAAATTTTCTCTTAAATTTTGTATTTTTTTTATGTTTAATTTCCTCTAAAAAAAAAGTTAATTTTTTCTTTTTGAATCAAACTCCAATTTTTATCCCTTTAAAAATTCTCTCATTTTTCTTTCTTTTTAAATTATTTTTGTTAACTATTTATCTTTCTTAAATTATTTATTGATTGACATATTATTTTAACTAATTTTTCTTCTTTTGACTCTTGATTTATAGAATCTATATTTATTGTCGTAATTATTGATTTTTTTTTTTTTTTACACTGTGCTTTTCATGAATTTAATTTCTGGCTCTACCCCTAAATACAACCTAAAATAAAAAATAATATAGATAAATGCATACTTGCCCCCAGAATATTTTTAATAGTGAATTGGTGATATTTTTTTAATAGTGAATTGAGTAAGAATGTCTTTTATTAGTTAATTGCACAAAATGGCATTGACAGAACTTCGGACAGAGGTCCTCCCACTATAAATGGTTTCTAACTTTCTATTAAAAATGAGTAATGATACTCTATCCGATCAAATTGACCTACTCCTGCTCTGAATCTTATGTGTAACTATCACATAATTACCTAAATAGTTGATATTTTATTTGCGCGCTAAAGATACCAAAAATAAATATAAAAAGAAGAGGTTTCTCTAATCCTTTTCTTCTTCGTTGCTTCCTTGATTATTTCTCTCTCCAACTCACTATTCTCTATTTTCCAAAATTGAAAGAAAAACAAAGTATTGAGAAGTCTCCATTGGTTCATAAAATCAAAGGGAATTATATATATAAACGTATATGTTTGCTTGTATAGGAAAAAACAAACCCTAATAAGATTGAAATTGTTTTTAAGAAGATTTATTAATTTTTAATTTTCAAAAGTATATCGTTCTTTGTTTTTAAGAAGATTTCTTAATTTTTTATTTTCAAAAGTCTTGAACTTTTAAACATTATGTCTTTTTGTCGTTAATTAAATAATAGGTATATTGTTTAAATAATAGGAATATTGATTGTAGTTTTGCAAAGTAAAAAAGAGAGAATAAGAAGGAAGATTTATAATGAAGAAGAAGAGGAATGGAGAAATCAGAGAGATAGAGAGAGGTCATCAAAACCTCTTCAGCTTCTTTCTATATTTATTTTTAGTGCAAAAATAAAATATCAACTATTTAAGTAATTAGATTACATATTTGATAATATCATTTTTTTTTTTTTTTTACAAGGCAAGAAAGGATAGAGTTAGATCAGTAGGTACAAAGAGTCGAAACCTGGCACTCCCAAAATCCACCGAAGGTACTAATCACTAGGCTATCGAGACATCTGCAAATTTGATAATATCATTACTCATTAAAAATACACAACTTTCTTATATTACTCTTTTCTTTTTTTCTTAAACCTTTTCAATATTAGTATATTAAACTAAGCCCATTTGCAATAATAGATAATATTATTCACTTTATTTTATAGTTGAAGAACTTACAGAGAGACTTGCAGCAATACATGATAGGCTTCATAGCATTACCATCAATTGACCATTGAATCTATACAAAATCTCACCACCATCCTACGGTACAATATGTAAGTATTCATCTATCTATCTCTCCTATTAGACTATTATGGAAATTTCTCATTTTGTTAATTACAAAATCACAAATTTTACTTTTATCTAAAACCCTAATTTTTTATTTTTATATTATTCTACTTTTGTACACATTGGATTTTTTTGATTCAGCCTAAATCTTGTTGTGGATTGGATAATGGACAAGACTCAAGAAAGTGATGTTGGAGTTGGGTAACAGAATGCCTAGAATTTAGAATTCGTATTGCGTATTAAACGTTAGTATATATATTTTTTCTTGCAGTGTTCTGTGTTTCTATTTGGCTCACAAAGTGGTCTGAGGTCGCTAACCAATGAATAGCTGACATAGAACGTGGGCGTGCCAGAGTCCTGATGGACTCGAATATTTCTTGCCAAAACTATTCCTATTGGGTCGGGTCACCGACCTAAGGTGATTCAGGCGAAAGTTGGAGAGTAGGAATGACCCTCTCCTTGAGGTTGCTATTGCCTTTAAGAAAGGACTTTAAACATTCAAGATAAATATCAATTGGAAGCAACTTAATTGAACAATAAATATACCTGGATCTGCAAACCTTTCTTCATTGAACTTGACTGATTACAATGATGAATGAATTACAAACTCTTGATTGAAACGGAAACTAGATGAACTAAGTACTAAACTGATAGTGCTAAACTGAACTTGATGAAATAAAAGCTAAGTGCTAAACTGAACTTAATGAAATAAAAGCTAAGTGCTAAATGATATGAATGATAAAGGTTGAACTTTAGAAATGGTCTTGGACCCCTTCCTTATGGGGCTTGAGTGGGTATTTATAGAGGCTTCCACCTGGTGTTGTCCCTTTCAACCGTTTCTCTAGAAATTGATTGGTTGTAAGCTGAAAGTGACTTTTCCTAACCACCTTGCTGAGCTGGTCAGGTTGACTGACTTGCACATCTCTCTATAGGCAGATACAAGTATGTCAGACATAGTATTTTTGACTAAGTGGTGCCCTTTCTTTCATGCTTGATGATTTTGGTCTTCAAGCCATTTTCAGCTCTCTGCACCTGTCATGTCTGGCTTGATTTGTACATTAGCCTGGAGTCATATGATTACTGACAACTCTGACTTTCCTCGTCAGATGTAAGCGAGAACCTTCCATCTGTAGTTCTAAACTTCTGATATTGTCAAGTTGTCCTTTTCTATTTCAAGCTTTCTTTATGTTTCTAGACCTGACTTGTTGGGTTCTTGAATCATTGGGATTCACAGCCGGTCTTCATTTGAATTACTCCAAAGATTCCTCAAGTGACTATGACCCGAGACCCTTGATCATGACCATATTTGGTTATGAGTCTTGATCATGGCCATAGTGACTAAAAATCTTGGTTAAGATTCATGATCATGACCATTATGACCGAGAGTCTTATGATCATTGTGACCGAGAGAAATAATGGTCGAGACTCTTGATCATGGCTGGTTATGAGACTTTGGAGAGACTGTGGAGAGATTTTGGATCATGACCATTATAACTGAGAGTCTCATGATTATGACCGTTGTGACTGAGAGTCTCAGTCATTGTGACGCTGAGAGTTTTGGTCGGGACTCATGATCATTGAGACTGAGACTCTCATGACCATAGTAACTGAGTGAAATTTAGCAAAAACTCATGACCATGACCATTGACACCGAAAGTCATAACCATAGTGACTGAGAGGATCATGACCATAGTGACTGAGAAGATTTTGGCCTAAGCTCATGACCATAGCGACTGAGAGGATATATGGCCTAAATTCATGATCATGATACTGAGAGAAAAATGGTCTAAACTCATGACCATGAGACTGAGACTCTCATGACTATAGTGACTGAGAGGATTTTGGCCTAAACTCATGATCATGATGACCGAGACTCATGATCATGATGATTGAGACTACCATAGTGACTGAGAAGATTTTGGCCTAATGTTCATGATCATGATGACTGAGAGGATATATGGCCTAAGTTCATGATCATGATACTGAGAGAAAAATGGCCTAAACTCATGACCATGAGACTGAGACTCTCATGACCATAGTGACTGAGAAGATTTTGGCCTAAACTCATGATCATGATGACTGAGACTCTCATGACCATAGTGACTGAGAAGATTTTGGCCTAATGTTCATGACCATGATGACTGAGAGAATTTTGGCCTAAACTCATGATCATGATGATTGAGACCAAGTCTCAATCATGGCCGGTTATGAGCTCGGAACCTCATATCAATTTTAATGGCCTAAAAATCCACTCTTCTTCCTTCTCAGCCTTAAATTGGATCACTATGATTAGAAATTAATCTTTCGCCCTGATGATCATGGGTTGACCCAAAGTTTAGACCTCGTGATTTTTTGACCACGTGGCCTAATTGTCTCGAATTATATTTTAGGTGTTAACAATTTCAAATCTCATTGATTCTGATTCATATGGTTGGAGACTTGGAGTCTTGCTCTTATATTGGACTAGATTGGTGTAAAGAACTACTGAATTAGAGGTACCACTTTTGAATTATTATTATTATTATTATTATTATTATTATATGATTTATACTATTAATTGATAATTGAAAATAGTAGTAGAATATAATTGATTTGTTATTACACTTGATGTGTTCTGGTTTTTGCTTTATAGTTAAGGTTTTTTTAAATTTTGGCTTAACGTCTTATGGTCTGTTTTTTTTTGTGTTTATTACGGAAGTTTGATAAAATAAAAAAAATAAAAAATTTAATTTCAAGTTAATTGGTTATACATGGTCAAGCTACCAATCGATAATATATGAATTTTATTGTCTCAAAGATAATTATTTGGCCTTTTGTAGTAGTTATTGGGTCTTTTTTGTTGATTTTTGTACATATTTATGTCATTTTTGACTAAATAGACTAATTTTTTTTTTTTTACACTACTTGGCTGGCGGTTGATTTAATAAATTTTTGTATGTATAATCGAGAATATATATTTTTGGTTTAAAATATTCTTATATTAGATGGTAATGTTGCTTATAAGTTCGGCCCCAATCATAGAATCCTGGCTCCACCTCTGCAACTACACAACAATATTACATAAGTCATTTTGTATGTATAATCGAGAATATATATTTTTGGTTTAAAATATTCTTATATTAGATGGTAATGTTGCTTATAAGTTCGGCCCCAATCATAGAATCAACATAGCTCTGCAACTACACAACAATATTACATAAGTCATCCTTCACTATCACAAGAACATCAACATAGCTAACATTCAACAAACATAACAACATGAGGTCATTGACTGGACGCTTGATAATAGTCTGGCCACCAGAAGTTCCTCGACAACGGATAATCGAAAACAAAACGATCTGGAGCCAAGCTTTTGCCACCATGATAACAAAAATGATGGGAGGAAATCTCAAGAAGAGAAAGAGGAGTAATCATCGATTGCAACAATCACCTCATTCACAACACTTTCAAACCACACATCCTTAACGGCAGGCTTCTTTGCCCCAGTTGAGGGTATGTAATAAGCACACTATCTGTGTCTCACGAATAGTGGATGAGGAGAACGGCTTAAACACAACTAAACCAACATCGGTGCCCTTAGGAGCTCCGAATACTGCCCCTTCTCCTCTGATCAGATGTTACATTTGAAAACCAACATCCACGCCACATTTCACCATTTTCATCCAAGGTGGCTTCCATACTTGAGGCATTGCAAGCTTTGAAAATCCTCCAGGCTAGCAAATTGCACACATTGGACTTGAGTATCAGTAAAGTTCCAATACCAATTACATACTACCAAATCCACCAGAAGATTCCCTACTGTATCCGGGTTGAATAATTAGCAGAACCCACTAGATTATTGGGTTGATTACTGTTAGAGTACCTATTAAGTTTGGTTGTTTTTTAATAAAAGAAGCTTAGGGGGGAAAATCGCTCCATCAGTAAAATTAGACAACTCTACTATATTACAGAACAAACATGAAAACGAAGCTCCAAATGATATAATTTGGTCAACAAAATGTCAAAACTAGTGAGCTAGTGAGTATTGATTGCTTTACCAGGATATGGATGTTCAAATTGAATTGAAAACCGTGTTACATATGATATTTAAGCTTTTGACTGTCCAAACTATTCATTAAAGTTTTCATAATATGATTTGTCACCTCAAATTTATGAAATTGACTTTGTGGACACCAAACCTTGGTTGGATTTGTAAGGTCCATCAAGGCCCAATTAACCCAAATGCTAAATCTCATCTCTTGGTAGTTCACGTTACAGAGTTACAGTACACATGCACGCATAAACCATACATATTTACAAATTTCACTTAAGTAAAGAGGAGAAAATTACTACAGTTACACGCATACAGCAATCCAGTTAATTAAGATGCCAAATAATGATTTGAAACATATTCTGCATACATACACGAATATATATATATATATATATATATATAATTTGGATTCCTATTAATTATAGTTGTAGAGCTGACGAATGTTGATTGGGGAGCTAACAGTCTGATCACCATTCAGTAAATTTTGAGCAATGATGATATTAGCCGCTTCTGTGGGGTGATATGCATCCCAAAACACGTACTTTGATCGATCATCGCACATCACAGAGCTTGCATTTGCATTCCTTCCCTTAAAACACACAAATGGAGGGAAAAATCCCCCACAGCATGGTGACTCAGCATTCTCAAAACCTACCATTCAACGTGTATATATATATATATATATATTAGTATTAGAAAATTAGAAATTCCATTAATATCAGTTGTGAGCTTAATTACCATAGTGACGATAATTTCGTATGATCCCCTCAACAACATGGTATGAATTTGTATATATAAAGATAGCTTCGGGCCCCAATTCTCGATTCAAATGATTTAGCACCTGAATCAGCCTTGTATTGTATCCTTGAATCAACGTATTCACCTTAACAGAGCATTTTCCATTAGGTACAAGGTGGAGGGCACGCACAAATGGTATACATCCCAGAGGTCCTACTCCGCCTACAATGAATTTTCGAGCCCCTAAACCGTGCAGTCGCTTCATATATATACATACATACAACAATGAATTATGAAATGTGTATATATATATATATATATATATATATATATGAATTAATGAAGGTATATATATATGTGTGTAGTGTACCTTAAGGTGCATGGTGAAGTTGGACAACATGAAGTCCTGGAAGAGAGTAGGGGAAACCTTGTCTTCCTCAAAAAAAGGGATTGATGGTTGGAAGTAGTTGAGAATATCATTTGATCCAATTGTTAGAGAGAAGATTGCCCTCTTCAAGAATGTGTTTGTTCCATTCTCTCCCATCACATTCACAATATAATTCCTACTTTCCTCGAAGTAGTTGATTTGCACTCTCAGTGGAACCCTTCCTATCTGTGCATTGTAATTAAAACTAAGTGTTATTTGTAATTCCAATTATGAAAATCATAACTATATATTAATTAATTATTTTTAAAATAAAAGGTTGTACGTACAAACAAGGTCCCGGTTTCATCCAAAATTCCTGAAGCTCCCGAAGCATAATTGATTCCATTGAGAATTATGTTAGATGTTGCGTTAGGGGCTAGGTAAGGGGGAGGAAATGACTTTCCATTTCCTCCAAGAGCTTCACCTGAAACACATGGAATTAATTCATTCATTTAGTGCTAACAAGAGTACGAGTTTAATTATTAATCAAATTAACTTATCTACCCATTACTTACATCAGGTTAATTGTGATTAATTTTTCATATTAGCTAGCTATATATATATAGATAGATAGATAGATAGATCATAGCTTCTCTTATAACCTCCAATATGGTTGGTTAGCTTGATATCAATCAAACAATGACCTAGCTCACCCCAAATTAGTTGAAACTTAAATGGTCTAGCTGTTGACATATTATCCACTTCATTTATGAAACACTTGAATATTAGATGAAATATTGCTCATAATGAAGAAACTACGTACACATTTTTTATTTTATTTTAATTTTAACCCAAACTAAACATGTTCTAACGGTAACAGACCTAAATTAGTCAGTCAATCTTTTAGCAGGCTCTTATTAAATAGGGAAAAAAATTAAAGAACATATAACTAATTACTTACTAGTACTACTCAAAATAGTGGCAGAGGAGTATTATCATATATACATGTGCCACAATATATATATATATATATATCTATATATATATATATATATATATATATATATATATACCTACAATGTCTGATACGGTGCGACCATTGGTGAATCTTCCAGTAGGTTGGCCACCAGAAGGTGTAAAATCAATACCGTAAGGAGGAGAGTCGGCCTTTGAGAGGGTGAAAAGATAGTCATTGTTTCCAGCATCAACTAATGAATCTCCGAACACGAATGTCGTAAAAGAAGAAGAAGAAGAAGATGGAAACACATGCAAAGATAGAAGAATGACCAATATGAAGAGCCAATAAGGCTGCAATGAAATCCTACTAATCAAGATCTCCATTGTTGAATTGATGACAGACCCTAATGCATGCATGCTAGGTAAGAGAGACAGACAGACCAGTGCAGTTTTTAATGACCTACTGCTATGGCAGGTAAGATGTTTGAAATAGTCTGAGTGAATTGGTCAATTGCACATCTTCATTATTGATATCTAACCTAATGTTTTCAAGTACTACATTTTTCTTTCTTCGATCATTTCAGTGATCAAAGTATTAATTTGAACCTTCTCTTCTTGTGGGTATACTTCACGTGGACATAATTTATACCACAGATCCAACATTTGATGGATCACAATCTTTTATTTAAGAATGCCAGTTGATAAGTCAAAAATTTTAAAACTACCACTAATTGCAATTTTTCTAATTTCATTACACTTGTGTGCAGTTTATATATTAACCAAATTTAGAGTTGATATATGTAGAAGAGAAATGATAAAAGTTTCGAATTGTATTAAAGTTTGTTTTCTTTAATTTTTAAATAAGATTAAAAGTAATAAATAAATAAAAATAAAAATGAAACTTATGAAAACTGGGGAAATAGGACAAAGAAATAAAGGAGATGACATGTATATAAAATCAAGTATTTCTTCCTTTATATACATACATACATATATATATATGTATATATGAGGAGGCCCTGGATGACATGGGCCAGGTCCGACTCGCAAAACACAACCTTCAGTCCGAACAGCTGGGTCAGCCCATAGAAAGACACTGCCATATGGGCCGGACGGGAGTAAGCCCATCAAGGGTGACCAGGGCTTACAGAGGAATAGGCCCAGGTCCAGCAATTAGTAAATATCTTGTAAATATCTTGTAAATATCTTGTAAGTATCTATAAATAGGAGTTGGAATGAAGGGGAGGGGGATCTTTTTTCGGGTTGAGGTGTAAGAATTCTAGAGAGAGAAAGAATAGAAGGAGTTTCTTGCATCTTCAATTGGCGCCGTCTGTGGGAAACGCATGAAAGTTTGGTTGATCAATGAGGAGTATCGAATGGATTCAAACCAATTCGGTTGATCGAGACTCGATCCTGCGGATTTGAATCCAGATCTGAGCGATTGTGACCTACTCTGGAGGAATTACGATTCTTGAAGCTTTGGCAGGAGTGACTTCAGATCTACGCAACCACGAGTTGCTCGATTGTGGCAGGATCTGACGGATTTAGAGTTCAGACAATTCAGATCTTGTAAACAGTGAGCATAATTCGGAGAATTAGAAGCCAGATCTAAAAATTCCTACTCACGAAGCTCAGATCTACTCGCGAACTTGAGATTAATGCCTTTACTCCGTTCGGGAATAATGATAGGTGAAAGCTCCAATCCGATGGAGGCTGTCCAGCAAACAAAGCTTGAAGAGTTGATGAACTTGATTGAAGCTCTCAGAAAAGAAAATGCAGAATTGAAAGCTGGACTGCAGCATCGGCAGATACCCGCAGTTTCGCATCCGCTTCCGGTCGGAGAAGGAGGTGTTCCATCTAGTATCGCGCATCAAGGCGATCAGAACGAGAACAATCAGTCAGCTCACCACCGTGATGAAAGGATGATGGACAATTTGCCGCCAAATGTTCGTCGAGTTGAAGATCACGAAGGCTCGACTCACGTTGATCCGCAGCGGGAAAGGTTTGACCGAGAGGAAGTGATGGAGGTAGATCGCCGTCGAGTAGCGTCGCCTTGGCAGAGAGAGTTCATAGAGGAACGGTCGTTCGATCCGTCTTACCGGCCCTCCATGGTTACTGTCACTCATCACGGTTCGGAGGGCAGAACCGTAACTCACAGAGCTACCGCTGGACTCCAGAGAGAGAATGAAGCTCTCCGATCCGCAGCTCGGACGGTGGATTCACCATTCACCGACGAGATCTTGAATGCGCCGCATCCAAGGAAGTTTGCTATGCCAGTCTTTATTCTGTTTGACGGAACAACCGATCCGATCGATCATGTGTATCATATCCAGTTGAAAATGGCCCTGAATACGGAAAACGACTCTTTAATGTGCAAATGCTTCCCTACAAGCCTGGCCGGACCGGCGCTCAGCTGGTTCAAAAACTTGCCTAGGAGCTCCATTGGCAGTTTCAGGGACCTGTGCGATCGGTTCATAAGCCAGTACTATGGGAACAAACGCCCGCCGAAGGACATCTCGAGCCTGTTCACGATGCGGCAACACAAGGATGAACGGCTCCAGGCCTTTCTTACCAGGTTTAATCTCACTAAGAGTATGGTAATCGAATGCCATCCTTCTACGGCAGTTCAAGCCTTCAAGTTAGCCATGACACGCGGAACTCCGTTTCACACCAGTCTGGTAGTGAATACGCCAGCTACCATGGATGAACTCAATGAGAGAGCCGATGGCTTTGTGCGCCTCGAAGAAGAGGAGGCAGTTAATGCTCGGACAACGTCGCTTGTGTCGACCGAGGAAAAGTCCAAGGCAAAGATCAGGCAGAAGCAGGCTCAGCCGCAACGTCAGACCACTTGGAAGGCCGAAAAAAGGTCCAGGGAGGAAGAGTTGATTACTCCGCTGAAGGTCACTCTGGCGAGGTTGTATCAGGAGAACAAGGACAAGTTTCATCCACCACTGCCAATTAGACAACCCCTCGAACAGAGGGATCAAACTAAACATTGTGCTTTTCATTCTGATTTCGGACATCAGACTAACGAATGCAGGAACCTGAGGAGGCAAGTGGAGATGTTGATAGCTAGAGGGGAGTTTGCGAGTTATGTTCAAGGCTCGGCGATGGAGCAGAATCGACCAGTGGAACAAATAAAAAGGAGTCATAAACAAAGCTCCCACAATTCGCAACCAGTTCGTATAATCAATGCTATCCATGGTCGACCCGAGCCTAGTGAAGAGTCAGATGAGCTGCTACGGGTGCGCCTGCGGCAGGCGCAGATGAAGAAAAGGGTCGGCAATGTGACCACTCTACACCAACAGAGCCCGTCAATGCAGATAAAGTTCGACTGGACAGACCTGCAGCGTGTTCAACTGCCTCATGACGACCCGTTGGTAGTCAGTTTGACAGTGGCAGATTGCTTGGTGCGCAGAGTTCTGATCGATCCTGGGAGCAGTGCGAATGTTATGCCGAGGGACACATTTGACAGGCTCGACATTAAACCAGAGAGGCTCAAGCCCACCGGAAATCCCTTATTAGGGTTCGATGGGAAGAGGGTGGAACCCGTCGGGATGGTGGAAGTAGAAGTTCAAGCTGCAGAGCGAGCTCTTATGGAAACTTTTGTGGTTGTGGAAATTCACCCCTCGTATAATCTCCTGATGGGAAGAGGATGGATTCACAGAGTCCGAGGTGTACCCTCAACTCTGCATCAGGTCATGAGGTGCCTCGGGCCCGATGGAGATAAAGTGATAGACATTCGGGGGGATCAGGTCGCAGCCAAAGAGTGTTATTCCGTCACACTAAAGCATGCAGGGAAAGGAAAGGCGCCCGTCCGGTCGACAAGCCCTAGATAGCAATTACAGGAACCTCCACTCGAGCAGAATAGGGTGGAGGAGTCAGCCGACTTGACCGAGGAGCCCCTTCTGGATGTGCAGATCGATCAGTCCAGGCCAGAACGAACTACCAGAGTGGGTATAAGACTGACCAGAGAAGAGCAACAAGAGCTAGTGGATTTCTTGTCCCACAATGTCGACGTATTTGCATGGAGTCACCTCGACATGCCTGGAATTAGTCCTTCCGTCTCCTGTCATTCCCTAAATGTCAATCCTAATTTCAAACCAGTGAAATAGAAGCAGCGAAGATTTGCTCCAGAACGTAATCAGATCATAACGGAAGAAGTTGATAGGCTGCTTGATGCGGGATTTATCAGAGAGGTGCACTACCCTGAGTGGTTGTCCAACGTCGTTGTGGTGCAGAAGAAAAATGGGAAATGGCGCATATGCATTGATTTCACCAATTTAAACAAAGCCTGTCCGAAGGACAGCTTCCCGTTGCCTAAGATTGATCAAATGGTGGATGCCACCACGGGGTATGAGCGTTTAACCTTTCTGGACGCATATTCAGGTTATAATCAGATTCCTATGGACCCCGCAGATGAAGAAAAAAATTCTTTTGTCACCGAGCGAGGAACATACTGCTACAAAGTTATGCCTTTTGGATTAAAGAATGCGGGAGCAACTTATCAACGACTTGTCAGCAAAGTTTTTAAGAATCAAATGGGTAAGACTGTCGAAGCCTATATTGATGATATGGTGGTAAAGAGTAGGAAAAAGGATGATCATCTGAAGCATCTGCAAGAGGTATTTGATGTACTAAAGCGATATGGGATGAGGCTCAATCCGACCAAGTGCTCGTTCGGTGTGAGTTCCGGGCAGTTTCTGGGACACGTGGTCAACCGTAGGGGCATCGAAGTTAGCCCCGCTCAAGCAGAGGCTTTGATTAAGAATGCCGAGCCAAAGACGATCAGAGAGGTGCAAGCCCTAACAGGACGAATAGCTGCATTAAGTCGATTTATTTCAAAGTTGTTAGACCACTGCAAACCATTCTTTGACACGATTCGGAGCCATGGAAGGCAGGTCTGGGGGGATGAGCAACGACAGGCATTGACTCATTTGAAGCAATATATGCAGAATCCACCAGTCCTGTCAGCCCCAGAACCGGAAGAAAAGTTATTTCTATATCTTGGAGTATCTGGTGTCGCGACGAGTGCCGTTCTGATTCGTTGCAAGGAAGGGGTGCAATACCCGGTATTTTATGTAAGCAAAACACTGATGGAGGCAGAAAGAAGATACTCAAAGGCCGAACGGGTGGTACTCGCACTTGTAAATGCAAAGAGAAAGTTAAGGCATTATTTTGAATCCCACCCCATAGCTGTTCTAACAACTTTCCCAATCAGAACGCTCATGCACAAGCCAGAGCTCTCGGGCAGAATGACAAAGTGGGCCATAGAGTTGAGTTCATTTGACATAACGTACGAGCCGAGAACAGCTATTAAAGGGCAAGCGGTGGCCGATTTCCTACTAGAATGTGATGCCGAAGATACGGAAGAGGACCTTAGA